TGAATCCACAGATGCATACAGTGCCCCCATCACCCAAACACCCTCCAAAAGCCCCATCTCTGAGTACATGAGAGGTTTGGGAGACATTTCAAACCCAAACCACAACAACCATCTACCACAGTGAGGTATAGGCAGAAACCAATCTCCCGTTTTCCCCTAATAATGCTCTGTGAACCCATTCTTTTGTGTACCTTGAATAAACTTTAGTCTAATCTTATACTGTAGATGGATGCATTTGGTGTTCCTCTCTTCAGGAAGATTCCTGACATGGTGACCTCATGTGTAGCCATATGGCTTGAATAGGAGTGTTAACGGGTGGGACCTTTTAAGGATCAGCATAGGGTTCACCATGTTTTCCTTTCTCTTTATCATGATGACAAGCAATGTTCCATATAGTGGCTACTATTTCAGTCTGAGTCTCAAAATGAACCATAGTCACAATCAAATTACAATCAATGTGATCTAGTACTGTCTTGGTCATTTTTCTCACTGCTGAGACAAAATACATGATATGTAAAGTTTAAGGAGGAAAGGTTTATTTCAACTTACAGTTTGTAGATGTTTCAGTCCCTAGGGCGGGCTCCAAGGCAGGGTAGCATGGAAGCGGGGATCACAGAGCAGCCAGGAGGCAGCAGCAGCAACAGTAAGCATTTCTTCCCTGTGCCCCTTTATATTCTATCCAGGCTGTCTTTTGATTGATGCCATTTATACCAAGGATGGGGCTTCCAATATTCACACCTTTAATCCTAACCTTGCACCCTTAGTCCACAGAGACCCTAATCCAGCCACCTTCAAAACCCTCCACCTATTACTGCAAGATGTTTTGGGGTGACATCTAGATACAAATCATAACAAACACACTATTTTAGGACACATAGGCTAAGTGGCATGTGTTGCATAGTTCTGCAACCCTGAACTTCTCTTAAAACACTTGGAGTTCCTGTACTTTACTAAAACACCAAAACAGAAAGTCCTATTTCAGTATCTCATTTCTATTGTTCTCCTAGTGTCAACTTTCTTTGCGTTTATGTGTATGGAAATAGTCACAAAAATTTGACTTGGAACATTGTTTTTAAAGTCATTATTAATGTTCAGAAAAGAGAGCATTTGTATAGATCCAGGACCATAACAACACAGGGCATTCCACAAATCAATTAATGTCTGTGTTGCCTGCTTTCTTGACAAGTGGTAAAAATCCTATTTTAAAATAATGTTAAGAAAAAAAAACTATCTATACAATATATAAATTAACACAATTTTAGGGTACTGTTTTTGGCTGCCTTGATACAGAAATCAGTACTTTTAAGGATCTTTTTCCTAAACTTTTTCTATAACTTCTATAAGCCAAGAGATGTGTCAGACCAAAATGCCAAACAGATGACAAAGGTATGTCTCAGGCCTTTTGCTTATTTCCCTATTCAGCATAAATATTGTGTCCACTACCATTACAGATGGCTATTATTTAGTTGTGAAGTTTTTTTTTTTTTTTTTTTTTTTTTTTTTTTTTTTTTTGGTACCGGGGATCGAACTCGGGTCCTTGCACTGACAAGGCAGGCCACCGAACCGCTGAGCTAAATTCCCAGCCCTGTGAGCTTGTTTTTGTATATGTGTGAGGCTGTTTTTTTTAAAAAAATCATTTTATATAACAGTAAGATGAAGGATAAAGTTCTATGCTTTCTCTAAAGTTACCAAGTATTTTTTTTAGTTTGAAACCACAACATACTTTTTTCTGTTTAAGGTAAGTACTTTATCCCTCCCTTTCCTTCTCATTACTTTCTGTAAAAATTTTCACTGCAAAACAAAGAACCGCAATACTTTGCATAGTGTTTCTTCACTGTAGGTATTTTTTGATGAAAAATCATAGACTATACATGTGATAAGCAAGAGAAAAAAATTAAAACTACATTAACAAGACATTTCTGCATTACTTTTATGTGGAAAGGCTACCAATATGCCCCTCTTTATTAGAGTAATTGGGATGATAAGAGCTGATTTTTGAGAATGGAGGTATGATGGTGGTACCAGAAAAGGTAATGAAGAAGTAGACAGGTATGGATGGTCTGTATACCTGATTGGAAATTGCCATCTCTTTGTTATCAGTATCAAGTGCAGGTTATTTATCCTAATCTTTATATATACACACACACATATCTCCTTTTTGAGATTATTAGCTCTATAAAAGAAGGAGTAAGTGGTCATTAAATGCAATTTGAATAGCAGCTTGGCCGAATACCATACATCAATCCAGCATTTTTATTTTATTTTTTTCGGGAATTTTATGGATGAAAGCAGACCCCTATTCAATCACTGCATTCAGCTTAATGTCCAGAAACTGTAGGTGTAGTGCACTCTTCTTCCTTAGTCCAGAAGTAATTCTATATTATTCTATGACTCATGATTAAGAAAAAATTATCTGCTCCTTCCCTTACCCAACATAAAATGACAGACACAATATGATATGACAACCACAATAAGAATTCCTATTTAGGAAAGCATGAAAGATGTACAATAGCCCTAGTCTATAGCAAGGCTGGTAACCTACCAGATAGTCATTAGAATTTCTCATTTTTTTACTAGACCTTGATTTTACTCTCTGGAAGGATATCTCTTAAGCTTTGTTCTCTAAGCTATTTGTTGTCATCCTTTAGGCTTTACTCTATTTCCTTCATCATCTTTGGTAAAAAGAGCTGTTTAGCTTTTCAGGTAATTTCTTGAAGAACAAAGCTTGGCTCTAATATGTCTTTTTGTCATAATTTGTTTCATTTTGTGTCTTGTGTGACATGTACATTTCTTATAAACTTTGAGAGATAATATTCCTACAATTAAGGGCATGCATTTCTGGGTACAGTTCGGTTCAGTTAATTTTTATAT